CAGTTCTGACTCAATGGCATTGAGATGAGTTAAGTGGAACTATTATTTAATATCACAACGATAATGAACATATTGAAGTATAGGTAGTAGATGCTTGAAGAGCCTGATTATGAAACAAAACCTTGGTGGTTCACACCACCAGCAGGCCCAAAGGTGAAAAATGTGGCCATCAGCTTCCATACAGAATTACAGCTTTAGTGACAAGGGGCAGGACAGTTCCACTCTGTCTTCTGGAGTTGTTATGAGTCAGCACCAACTTGATTGCAACAGTTTTGGTATTTATGTTACTTTGTTTCTCTGGTGAACTCTGACTAATACAGGTTGTGTACTGTTCAGCCATTATAACTTAAAAAGACATTTTAAAAAATTTTTTTTTATTATCATTTTTGTGTGAGTGTACCATCAAATCAGATCTGACTGGTACAGGAGGAGATTGTCTGTCCTTCCCGGCAGAGTATCTGGTGGATTCGAACCATGCGCCTCTGGGATTGTAGTTGCAGCTCCTTACCACTAGGCCACCAGAGTTCCCCTTTAAAATGACATTTTTGAAAACTGGATTTTATTATGCTGAATGAACTAACTTAATCACCTAAGGACAAATATTGCATGTGACCATTATTGTAAAAATAGAAGGATAACTAGTAAGATGTATATGAAAGTTCAGGGGGGTAAGGGGACGAAGCAGGGGGACTGAGGGTGGGAAGGGGTTTAATCATGGGGTCAGAGTTTGGTGAGTAAAGGGAGCAGGTGAAGGGATAGGAAAGATCCACTGAGGACCAAAAAGACAGGTAATGATGGGCACAAGTCAATGAGGATTCATTTTATAGAACAGTGTATGAGAATGATCATACCAAACACAATGTAAATGAAGGGATGTGTCACACACAATGTATATAAATGAAATACAATGTATATAAATTTTGTATGCAAACCAATGTAAAATTTTTTAAAAAGGAAAACAAATAGATTCCAAGCTTTCTAAAAATGATTTCCCTTTTGGGGGGGAAATACAGTCTAAGTAGACCAAAGTAAGAATTTTCTGTTATAATCCCTTCATTTTAAACATGCAGAAGACTGAGTAACTGAATGATTTGGCTCACATACCTGGTTTTATCAGAGGCAAAATTAGATCTTGGGAACTTGTTTAATGCCCCAGTGTAATATTATTTTAAATATAGACTAATTATTTAATATAGCCAGATGCTGATTGTGGAAGAGACTATCAACTGCTCATATGCAAGTTTAAATTAAAACTAAAGAAGGTTAAATCATATCCACAGGAATAAAAATTTTACTTTGAGTCTATTCCTCATAATTTAAAAACCAACTCAGGAATAGGTTTGAGGCCTTGAACACTAATGAACAAAGACTAGATAAGCTGTAGGAAGATAGCAAGAATATCGTTCATGAAGAAAAAGGAAGAAGAAGAAAAGACCAAAATGGATGTCAGAAGAGACTCTGAATATTGCACTAGAGTTCCTAGAAGCCAAAGCAAAGGGAAGAGCTCAAGAAGTTAAAGAGCTGATTAAAGTATTTCAAAGGGCCACTCGGGAAGACAAGTCAAAATATTACAATGACATGTGTAAGGCAAAATGGCTGAACTCACTCAGCATTTCTTAAACTGAAAGAACTAAATTTAAGCCACGAATTGCAATGCTTAAGGATGCTATCTATGGGCAGAATATTAAATGAGTCAAAAAGCATGAAGAGCAGATGGAAGGTGTATACAGAGTCATTATACCAAAAAGAATTGGCTGACACGGAAGAATTTCAAGAAACAACATATGAGCAAGAGGCATTGATGATGAAGGAGGGAGTGCAGGCTGCTCGGAAGGAGTTGGCATAAAATAAAGCCCCACGAATTGATGGAATATCATTTGATGTATTTCAGCAAACAGATGCTGCCCTGCATGTGCTCACCAAGTTGTGCCAAGAAATCTGGAGGCCAACTACTTGTTCAACTGTCTAGAAGAGACACATATTTATTCCCATTCCAAAAAAAAGGGTGCCCCGACAGAGTGTGGAAATTATCGAACAATGTCACTAACATCCATTGTCACTAGCAAAATCCAGCTGAAGATTATCCAGAAAAGACTTGAACAGTACATTGACAGAGAACTACCAGAAATACAGGATGGGTTTAGAAGAGGTATTCTTCTTTAGAAGAGCACTAAGTACATTATTGCCAATGTCAAGTGGATCTTGGCAGAGAGCAGAGAGTACCAGAAGAATGTCTATTTGTGTTTCATTGACTACACGAAGGCATTTGACTGTGTGGATCACAATAAATTATGGCTAACCTTTAGAATAATGGGAATCTCAGAACACTTGATCGTGCTTATACGAAACCTATACTTGGACCAAGCAGCAGTCCTCAAAACAGAGCAAGAGAACACTGCGTGGTTCAAAATCAAGAAAGGAGTGCATCCGGATGCATCCTGTCCCACTCCTTGTCAATCTGTATGCAGAACAGATCATTCGGGAAGCAGGGCTTTATGAGGAGGAGTGTGGCATCAGGATTGGAGGAAGAGTCATTAACAACCTACAATATGCAGATGACACAACCCTGCTTGCTGAGACTGAGGAAGACCTGAAGCACTTGCTGCAAAAGGTCATGGACTGTAATCTTTAATATGGATTGAAACTCAACATCAAGACAAAGATTCTCACCACTGGGCCAAGTGGCAGCACCATATTAGAGGAAAAGAGATAGAGGTTGTTAGCAATTACAGCTTGCTCAGATCCACAAGCAATACTCTTAATACCAGCAGTCAGGAAATAAAAAGACTAATTGCATTTGGAAAATCTGTTGTCATGTACCTCTCCAGAGTACTGAAAATCAATGATGTCAGTCTAGATACAAAGGTGTGCCTAATCCAGGCCATGGTCTTTTCAATTACTTGTTATGCTTCAGAGAGTTGGACAATGATTAAGGATGACAGAAGAAGAATAGATGACTTCAAGTTGTGGTGCTGGAGAAGAGTCTTGCACATACCATGGGCTGTAAAGAAAACAAATAGGTTTGTTTTTGAGTGGGTGAAACGAAGTCTCTCTTTGGAGGCTAGGATTTTGAAGCTTCACCTCACTTATTTTGGGCATGCAGCCAGGAGAGATCAGTCCTTAGAGAAGGACATCATGCTCAGAAGGGTGGATGGACAGTGAGGAGAAGGAGATGAGATGGGTTGATACAATAACTGAGGCAATGGGGGTTAGTATTTCAGAATTAGTGAGACTCAAGACAGGAAAGGTTCAGAGCTGCTGTACATAGGGTCACTACACATCACAGACAACTAAATGACACATAACATACTATGACAGGTTTGGAAGCAGGAGTAGCATCACTTCCTAAGTAACATGCCTCCAGAAACTCTATGTACTTTGACAAATGTCGTTTGTTGTAGAGGGGCTTCAAGCCTTTTGTTCATAGGGTCGTTATGATTCGTGCTCAACTCGAAGGCAATGAAAAACAACAACATAACATTCTAGTTCTTTGCACTGGCCATATATATGTGGATTCTGTACTGAAGCTATGAGAATTCTGGTACCCTTCCTATTACATGTTATAGTGGACATAAAATTCTTCATCAATTAAGTGTCATCAAGTTGACTCCAACTCAGAACAACTTTATGCACAACAGGATAAAACTTCTTCCCATCCTGCATCATACTTGCAATCAATTAATCTCTGTCAATCCATCTCTTTGAGGGTCTTCCTCTCCTTCACAGACCCCCTCCCCCAATTTTCCACTATGATGTGGACTAACCTCTCCTACTAACATGTCCAAAGTATGTTAGAGAAAGTCTCACTATCTTTCCCTCTACAGAACACCCTGCTGCACTGTGTCCAAGACAAATTTATTTGTTCCTTTGGCAGTCCCTGGTATAGTCAATTATCCATAGTGTCTAAATTAATCAGAGATTAGCTTGTTACCTCTGATTTGCTGTGATTTCTGGTCTCATAGCTACCCTATAGGACAGGGTGGAACCCAAGGGTACCCAAGACTGTCATCTTCATGGAAGCAGGCAGCCACCTTTTTCCTCCTGCAGAGCAACTGGTAGATTCTAACTTCTGGAGTGGCAGCTGTGTGTTCAGCTATTGCACCAGCACAGCTCCTTACAATATATACCAAGTAATCAGAGAGATCAGTGGTTCAAAACTTATTAAACACTCAGAAAAGTCAGTGGTTCAAATTTTACTTTCAATTTCAGGGAAGAAAATACCTGGCAATCTGCTGCCGCTGGGACTCCAAGCTAAGAAACCCTAAGGAGCAATTCTCCTCAGTCCTACAGGGTAACTATGAAGCAGAATCAGCTTTACCAGGTGATGCTGGTCTAATCTTAAACTTTTCCCAAAAATGCATACGCAGATGACCTTCAGTATATACTCTTAAGTCACCACAAGCACATGCGCAATCAGAGTAGAACTGTGCTCCTAGAGTATCAGGAACTTCATTCTTCAATGTAGATAGCAAGACCTTTCCAATGGCATACACAAATCAGATTATACAAAAACTTTATCTCAGTCTTTCTGACTCTTGACTCCTTAAGAAAGTAAGAGAACAAAGTTGCAATGAGAAGTTGAATGAATGAATGGGAAGTACACAGTTTTACGGAGTCTTGTTTGTTATACCATTCTCTACCAGGAACATCTTTCCTATGCCAGCTTCTTTCCTTCCATTAGATATGTTAAGATGATGACAAAAGGGGGGAAAGAAACATTTCAAAATAATATGAAGGAAGATTTAAGCGTTTGAGTCCAGAACAAAAAGAGGCAAGGCTAAGTTTGGTGCATCCTCTGCATTAGTGAAACAAATTATGTTCCTTTCCTTCCTCCTTTCCCCAACAGCTTTGGTGAGAAGAGATTAAAACAACTTTCACGGCAGTAAACTCAGCTGTTCACTTAAGCATTTCAGCGCCATCGTTGTGGCCGGGACAAGAGAGAGAGCACCCGGCACGTCCCCGCCAGCAGCGAGAAGGTTCCCACCTCCCAGGCCACTCACCATGTTCATCGCTGCCTCCATCCACTTCTCGATCTCCTCCGCCGACACCGAGCACGCCGCGCCATTAGCCATCGAGGACGCCGCCTTCGCCTCCATGCTGCCCTGGATCAGAGACTGCGGAGGGCCCCGGGCAGCGGAACGCGACAGCCGCGAGTCAGCGTTTCCGCGGGGCCCGGAAGGCGCTGCACCGGGGAGCGCTTTCCGGACGGACCCGAGCGCCGGGAGCCAGTGAGCGGCGGGGGGGCCGCAGCTTCGGCGGCAGAAGGCGCAGCCGCTCGGCTCCAGGACACGCCCCCGGCCCGCTCCGGTGGCGGTGCCCACGCCCCCTCTCCGCTCCGCAGCCTGTGCGCACCGACTGGCGCCGGTGCGAGTTCCCGGCCTGGTGTCGGAGGACCGACTTCCCCGGCGGACCACTCCCGACACCGCGGCCCCTCGTACCCCTGGGCCCTGAAGATGCTGAGATCTATGTGGAATTTTCTGAAACGTCACAAAAAAAAATGCATCTTCCTGGGCACGGTCCTTGGAGGTGAGTGACAGTGCCGAGAGGGTAGTGGCAGAAGGGAGTGGGTAGAGATGTGATTTCCTTCACTGTTCGGAGCGACCCCAGCCCAGGTACATGGAGAGGGGATTCGTTGTACCTTTAAGAGGGGAAGCAGGTGACAACCCTCCAAGGCTTATCCTCCAGCAGTTGTGAAGTTTCTCTGTGCCCTTTGACCCCCTCATTGCCCTTTCTCCTACAAACCTAGAGAAAACCCATCCCCACTAAGTTTCTATTTCAAGGCCCTGTGCTCTTAGATGTTTTTGGTGGGTTGGTTTTTTTTTTTTCCCTCGTTTTGCTTTGTTGGTGGTGCATATGTCTGTATATTTCATGTTGGTATCAGTAAAAGTTAGACACCTTAAAACATTTTTTTCTGTTGCCATTTTGTGAGATTGTTCTCATTCTGTTTGACACGCTGTAGTCCTGAAAGCACGTGGTTCGAATCCACCAGCTGCTCTGCGGGTGAAGGGTGAGCAGTCTCCTCCGATGTGATTTACTGCCTTTGAAAATCTACAGGGGGATCAGCTTCGGGTCAAGTCCTACTCGATGATACAAAACCACAACATTGCCTTTTTGTGAGAGTCTCCAATTCTATTTGACAGTCCCATGACACTGTATATTTCAATATTTTAATTGCCTTAAACCTATAGAGTTACCTGCACTTTGGGTGGTATTTAAAGTTTATTTGAATTTTTGAAAACAGCACAGTTGCACTGAAGAATGAGAATACAGGCAAGATCTTTCTGCCCTTTTAGAGTACAAATTCTGCTAAGACGTGCTTGAGGGCTATTATACAATCTTGCTCAGGATATTCAGAGTTGGTATGGATGCCTGTTTAACTGGCTTATATTACACACCTACAGATTTAGAAATTCAAGATAAAGATCTTGAAACCCTTTTCTCTTATGATAGCCATGTCACAATGTGCGGAGATTTGAAGAAGAGAGCAAGACTTGTAGACAAGAAAATATAGAAATGTTAGGCTTCAAAAGAGGGACTTTTCAGAACTTGAGTTTTTAAATCTTATCACTAATACAGTACTTAAAACTGCTTTAAAATCATGAACAAGAGTTCCCAAAAGAATCTGGTTGCTTTTCTCTTACTGTACTATTTTATTACATCTTGATCTGTAATTAATGATACTTTTTCACCTCTTTGCTGTTGAGTCAGAACAAACTCATAGCTGGCTCTCCAGCAGGTTTTCTATGTCTGTAAATTGCACAATATTTCATGGAATGCCAAAAGAACAAACAAATATGTCTGAGAGAAAGTGCTGCCAGATGCTCCTTGGAGGCAGAAGTGATAAAACTTCATTTCACGTATTTCAGGCATATTACTAGGAGAGGCTATTTCTTGAGAGGGGCGTCATGCTCAGAAAGGTGGACAGTTTGTGAAATAGAGATCTTCAGTCAGATGGGTTGACTTAGTACTGCAGTGGGCTTGAGTGTATCAGAGATTCTGAGGATGACAGAGCATAGGACAGGGTTCATTCTCTTGTTCATTGGGTCACCATGGATTGTACTTGACTCAGCGGCACCTAACAACAACAAATTGCACAAGAAGAGATTGCTCATTTTGGAACTCTTGATGGGTTCAAACTTCCAGAGAAATGCTACTTTTAAGTTAGCAGCACAACTCTCTACAGACCACCCCACAAGAACTCCCTAATACTTTTAACACCAGTATTTCAAATCTTATGTTTCTTTCTCCCCCACCCCCACCCCATACACATTAGAAACAGCCTTATTGTATTTTGGAGGTTAGGATAGTCTTTGGCATATCTCTGAGGCTTATTACAAATAGACAATGAGCGTATATGGTGTAGGGAGATCTGGTGGCAAGAAGTTGCACTGCAATCCTGAAGACACACAAGCTACTCTACAGGACGAAGATGGGCAGTCTCATCTCCTGCAATTAACTGCCTGTGAAAACCCACCGGGAAGTTAACTATGGGTCGTTTCCGACTCTGGTACACGACAACAGCATCATATATGGTATTATATCATTATTTGAGAAATGTTGTTGTGTTGTGTACCATTGAGTGGGAACCAAGCCATAGCTGACCCTCCAGTGTGCTTTCAGAGGCAGTAATCACTCCGGACGAGATTGTCCACCCTTCTGGTATGGAGCAGCTATAGCAGAATTGAACTACATGCCTTTGAGATTGCAGGGCAGATTCTTACTACATAGGTAAATAATATTCCTATTTATTTGGCCTCTGGTATATATGATATGCTTAAGTTAGACTACTGAATCTCTTATTTCTAGAGATTATTATTTCTAGATCTGTGAGGGAAGAAATAAAAATAAAATATTTTTACCATTGACTAGCAGAAAGAAAATTTCTTTTTCTTTAGCACTATCAACAGGGTAGCATACTCCTTCAAGTTTACTTGACAACCTAATGTTGGATAATAATCACAGAAGATAATTACAGGAGAAAAATATTGTTTGAAAGTATGCTGTTATTAGGTGCTGTTGTGTCAGCTCAGACTCCTATGGGCCTATGCAGAACAGAGCAAAACCATGTGAGATCTTGCCCCATCCACAGTCCATGCTGAGCTTAAGCTTACAGTCATTCACTATATCAGTCTTCTGGATAAAGGTCATCCTTTTTCTCACTGACACTCTGCTTTTCCAAGCATGATGTCCTTCTTCAGAGTGGCCTCTTCCTGGTAACGTGTCCAAACTGTGAGTCTTTGTACTGTTCTAGCTGTTTTCTTAATATAATAGTTTTGAGCAAAATTGTACTTATAGGTATGTACTATTAATGATGCTGTTTTATGCTTTCCAAATTCTGTTGGATCACCTTTTTTTTGAATGGAAATTAATTAGAATCTCTTCCAGTCCATTGATTAATACATGTAGGACTGCATCTGTTTGTTTAAACACATCACTTGACCTCTGTCAATTCCTGAATGCTTCCTTTTAACTGGTGTTTTCAGTGCAGTTTGGATTTTTGCCTTTGGGACCATTGGTTCTTAATTATAAGTTACTTCCTCAAATGATTCCATGTCAACCAATTCTTGTTGGTAGAGTGACCTGTGTATTCCTTCCATCTTCTCTTGGTGCTTCCTGCATCAGGCAAGATTTTGCTCATAAAATCCTTCAGTATTGCAGTTCAAAACTGGAGCTTTTTCTTCAATACTTTGAGCTTTTTAAATGTTGAGGATAGTCTTAATTTTTGCTCTCTATCTGTGCTTCATTGATTATGCAAAGGCGTTTGACTGTGTAGACCATAACAAACTGTGGCTGACTCTGAGAAGAATGGGAATCCCAGAACACTTGATCGTGCTAATGCTAAGCCTATACTTGAACCAAGAGGTCAGAACAGAGCAAGGAAACACTGCATGGTTCAAAATTGGGAAGGGCGTACACCAGGGATATGTCCTGTCTCCGTACCTTTTCAACCTGTAGGCAGAACAGATCATCTGGGAGGCGGGGCTCTATGAGGAGAAATGAGGCATCAGGATTGGTGGAAGATCTATCAACAGTCTGCGTTATGCAAATGACACAACCCTGCTTGCTGAAACTGAGGAGGACCTGAAGTGTTTGCTGCAAAAGATTAAGGACTGCAGCCTTCAATATGGATTGAGGCTCAATGTCAAGAAGACAAAAATTCTCACCACTGGACCAATTGGCAGCATCAGGATGGATGGTGAAGAGATTGAGATTGTTCACAGCTTTAGTCTGCTTGACTCCACAATCAACACTCTTGGCACCAGCAGCCAGGAAATTAAAAGACGTATTGTGATGGGAAAGTCAGCTGTTAGGGACCTCTCTAAAGTACTGAAGACCAATGGTGTCTCTCTGGAGACTAAGGTACGTCTGACACAGGCCATGGTCTTTTGCAGTCACTTATTATGCATCAGAGAGTTGGACAATGACTAGGGAGGATGGAAGGAGAATTGATACCTTTGAACTTTGGTGTTGGAGAAGAGTATTGAGGGTACTATGGACTGCTAAGAAAACAAACAGATTCATCCTTGAAAGGGTTAAACTGGGCTGCTCCTTGGGGGCAAGGATTCTGAGGCTTCGTCTGACATGCTTTGAACATGTTGTAAGGAGAAACCGGCCCTTGGAGAAGGACATCATGCTTGGGAGGGTAGAGGGTAGGTGCAGGAGGGGAAGGCCCTCTAGGAGATGGATTGATTTGGTGACTGGGGTAATCGAGACGAATGTGTCAGAGACAGTGCGATTGGCACAGGATAGAGCAGAGTTTAGGGCAGTTGTACTTAGGGTCGCTATGAGTTGCAAGTGACTTGATGGCACATAACAACAACAACTACTCCAGGTTTTAGTACGTTTCATTATAATACTTTGTCTTCAGTTGCCTTTTGAAATCTTTATTTCAAAATCTCTCATTTCTCTTTTGTAATAAGCTCTCTTATTTCATCATTTGTCTTTCGCTTGTCTACATTCTAGAGCAAATTCCAGAGTCTTTTCTGACTTCCAGTTTGGTCTTCTTTTCTGTCATTTTAATGGCCTTTTTGCTATATTTGTGTCTGATGTCCTTAATATCATCCCATTACTCACCTGGTCTTTTGTCATTTGTCTTCACTGCACACTGTTCTTGGTACGGCCTCTAAATCAAGTGAGATAAATTCAAGGTTGTATTTTTACAATTGTGCACATGATAATTGAGGTTCTCCACTGACAGTTTTCACAGATGTAGTCAATTTCATTCCCGTGAAGTCCATCTGAAAAGGCCTATTATGTATAGTTGTTTTTTGGTTTATGGGTTTTGCTTGGGTTGGTTTTTTTTTTTAAAAAAAAAAGGATATTTATAGTGAATAAGTCATTGGTTGTATAAAATCATACTCAATCTCCAGCCTTATTTTTATCAGTAAGGCCATAATTTTGAATTACTAATCCTTCTTCTTTGTTTCCAACTTTTGCATTTAAACATTTATCATTGCTGCTCTTGTTAGTATCATTGAGTTGTCTCAGACTCTAGGGACTTTATATACAGCAGATGGAAGGATGCC